AAAGATTAAAATGCTACATTGAGTTTAAAAAAAAAAAAAAAAGAAAGAAAGAAAGAAAAAGGATGAAGTGGGGAATGGCAAGTAAATTAAGCATTTTTGATCCTGTAATCATGATATCATTACAATGAAAGGAATTTCACAAACTACTGCCAGAGGGAACTATTTTTAATTACAGCTTAAAAAAGGAAAGAAGAAAAGCCTACAGATTTCTTTCTTCCAAGCTTAGCTCTTAAATTTAGAGAGTCAGATTTAAACATCCTGAACGGAATTTTATTTATAATTTTGAATTGTCAATTTGTATTTTGCTACTGATCTGTGATCAACCATTTTAACTTTCATTCATCTCTAGGGATGTTTAAAAAAGGAATACATTTATATATGCTTATATAATTGCAAAATAAATCAACTATAAAAAGGAAACTAAGACAATTGGTACTTCAATTACTTGTATCTCTGCAAATAGGCTCCATTTTCCTTGTTGAATAGATTATAACCTTGCTAACTATGCATAGGCCTAAGAAAGGTGGCACATAAACTGTGCATGTAAATTTTAAATGGGTACTTTGTGCAATTCGTTAATACTCTATGAAAATGATTCTATATATTGAAATCAGAAACTGTACCAAACATGAAAAACATCAGAAGCTGCTGCCATAGGACTATTTTCTACTGTAGGCTGCTTTGGAAATAATTCCCATATCCTTGCTTTGTAAGTTGATAATATCACTATGCATTTCTACACATTTTATAAATTTGATTTATGCAGATTTTGATACACTGTATGTTTCTGTAGAAATTGTATAAATATTCAAATTTTATTAGGGATAAATTTGAGAAGTTTATGTATATCTTAATTCTGGGTTGCTTGTTTTTTAGGTGAGAAAAAAATAAAATACTGTATTTTAATCCATGGTTTTTTTCAGTATTCGTAATCATTTCTAAATCCAAACACTGCATGTTTGAAATAATTATTTTATTGTTTACCAGATACACTAACATAAAATATATATATATACCATAGTTATATGTTGACTATGTGTGAATGTTGGTTATAATTCTGCTTAGAATGTGCTTAGAATACACGGAGCTTACCTATCTGTAGGAAAGAAACAAAGGTTTATTTTCGCCTCTGGTTGCCTATGTATAGCAGTTTTTTTGTTTTTTTTTTAAAGTCACTTACCCAGGGTGCCTGGGTGGTTCAGTCAGTTAAGCGTCCAACCTTGGCTCAGGTCATGATCTCGCGATTTGTGGGTTCAAGCCCCACATCGGGCTCTGTGCTGACAGCTCAGAGCCTGGAGCCTGCTTCGGGTTCTGTGTCCCCCTTTCTCTCTGCCCCTCTCCCACTTCTGCTTTGCTCTCGCTCTCAAAAATAAATAAAAAATATTTTAAAAATTAAAACAAAAATCACTTATCCAATTATAAAAAACCCCAGCAACATCTATCTTTCTTGGCAGTGTTTTCTGTTATCTGATTGCCTATTGAAAGTAAAAATTTCTTTAAGTCAAAACTCTTTGCAACGTGACCGATAAGTGAGTATAGACAGAAGTGAAGCCTACCAAAAAATAGGCCATAGGACCTTTTGGCACAACAGGCGACATCTCAAAAGAGGATGTGGCTGCTCACATTCCAATAAGTCGTAGAGTTCATTTGGGAAACTTTCTCTCAATTGACTTGGCTATTGTCACGTCCTCTAATTCTCAGCTGCTATACCATAGAAATTTTAAAAAGTCACATTGGACCAGACTGGAGTTAATGGGAGTTCATTTATTTTTTCAGAAACAGTCTCATGGGGATCTTGGAATATATTTCATTTCTGGACAGAACGTAATCAAAAAAAAATCCACTTATAATTCAATGGAAAACATGACAGATATTTGACCTGAGCCAGATACCTAGTAGGCCAGTCATTTGGGTATGTGAACATTAATCCATGTGAAAGCAGATTTAAAAAGTACCAAGCACTATGAAAATGCATATCGTTCATCAGAATTGGTTGCAGGAAAATGGACAGAAGTCAGAGAATGATTTTTGTGGACCGCTATTCCTGGAATTGAGGTTAAAGGAAGGACTGAGTCTGAACTAAATCCAATAATTGCCTTGCAATTCTCATTTTTAAGATTTTGAAATGCCCATATTTGACCTCACATCTGAGCTGAGGTGGTATGGGGAGGTTCCTTATTTTCATAATAGAACGATATTACAACCTGCTCATCTGAATGAATATAGTATGATAACCAGTCTGTTTTGAATCTCTGTCCAACTACAAATTACTCATATGACCTTGGAAAATTATCTATGCCTCAATTTCCCCATTTGCAAATGGAGGAAAATAACAGTGCCTATTTCAAGGAATTTTATTAGGATTGTACGAACATACATAAAGTGGTTTGGACAGTTCCTGGCATACAGTCAAGATAATATAAACATTAGCTATTATCTGGCTTCAAAGTCTTAAAATTTGTTTTTAATCAGAAGACAGCTACACTGGAAACCCTACATAAAGGCTATTTGTGTGTACCTGTGTTTCATATAGGAGCTAACATTTACACACACTTTACAAATGAATGAAGCTCACAAGTTAAGCTGCTTGGGGGTAAAATGGTTTCTCAATACCGGAAAAAATGATCTTGACCTCACCTCCATGCGTAAAATGTAATTTTCAGTGGTCTAATTTAACCCTCAGAACTAAGTGTGTCTTGAAGCATGTTTAGGATAATGTAGTCTTTCATTATCTTTAAACGAAATTTCTCAGGGCACCTAGATGGCTCGGTTGAGTGTCCAACTTCAGATTAGGTTATGATCTCATGGTTCGTAGGTTCAAGCCATGAATTGGGCTCTTGCTGACAGCTCAGAGCCTGGACCCTGCTTTGGATTCTGCGTCACCCTCTCTCTGCCCCTCCCCCACTTGCACTCTGTCTCTCTTATAAATAAACATTAAAAAATTTTTTTTTAATGAATGAAATTTCTCTTGGACTTTTCACATGGCCAAATAAATTCCCAACTGTATTAATGCTTAAACATAGAAAAAAAAACTAAAATTTTGAGTAGAAAATACAGCTGAAAAGACTTCCATTTCTGGCCATGACATGTTTTGAGGAATTGGTTAATAGGCAAAGTAGAGTATGATACTCAAGGGAAAGGAAACATGCAAGGTGAATACTAGGTTTATCATGTCTGTCTGCCTTGGAGAACTTTTGTGATCAAGGTACAGGAAAGTGGAGCGCAAACAGTGGTGGTATTGCTGAGCTGAAGAGGCAAATAATAGAGTTGGGCTGCTGGGACAGCTGGAATTTACAGGGCAGGTTACTGGAGGGGAGGGAGTGCACTTGAATACCAGGAGACTGGTACAGGAATTTTTAAAGCACTGCCATTTACAATAGCAAAACCTCCAAGAACAACCTAAATACCCATCAACATTACACAGCAATGAATCTGAATGAAGTAACTATAAACAAGTCAGTAAGATAATGTTAAGTGAAAAAGGCAATTCCCAAGACATCAGCAAACACTTTCGTAAAATCAAAAGCAACTGAAACAGGAAGTCACACATCTATATGTGAT